GCAAGCGATGTGGGGAGCCCCCCTGGGCTCTCGGGCGCACTCACTCTGGATGTGGCCTGGGGTTAGGTGTGCGCGCACTCTCCCGCCATGGTTCTGGTCCTGCTGGCTAGCCGCTGGTGGGCCTAGCCGGCTGCACTTCTCTGGAGAAGGCAGGTGCGCAGGCTTCTCTGATGCTGGCTGTAGCTGATGGCTACACACTTCTCTGGAGTGGAGAGCTTCCTCTGCTACTAGAGTATTATCTAGTCGGAATCCCGCCTCTATTACACCCTTGTACCTTTCCTCAGGATTGCGGAGATCCTGGCCAGTGAACTCCACAGGGAAGAGGCACAGAGGCAGCAAAAGCTGGGGTATCCGTGGGCCGATAATGGAGGAATAGCGCCCCCCGGGGAGACTGGATCACAGGATTTAGTGTTACAGCTCAAGACAAGTGACTCAGCTCAGATCTCAGTGATTCAGCTCCAGCTCCAAGTCTAAGTGATCCAGCTCTGAGTCTAAGTGAGGTGATCCAGCTCCAGCTTTATTGGGGTAAAACTAGGACTATTTATAGTGTAGAGACAGTAGAAGAAGTCTTAGCTGATTGGTACTTTTAGGATGCCTCATTTACATAGGGCGGTGGGCTTCTATCAGGCTATCAGACAACGCCTGATTAAAACCTGGTAGCTCCTCTCCTGGAGGGCATGTATTTGTGGCGAGCACTGTAAAAGAAGAGTCAGGGAGGATGCCAGGAAGGCACTCTGCTATGAAGGAATCTGCAGCACATGGTTTTCCGAGCTCGTGAGCTATCCGGACGTGAAGAGACTTCTACTTGCATAACAGAGAACCCCAACATGGCCCAAAGTAACACAGATACTAAAGTGAGATCAGCAGTCTGGCTCTGAGGCTATTACCTTAACCCCCTGTTGTACCAAGAGCTGACTTCCTAATCAGAAAGGGTCTTGTCTTCCTGGACTGGTTGCCTAAAACGAGGTGAATACTGTACCTCACAAAGCCCACTTACTTTTGTTGCCCTAAATGGAAGAGATGACATAGCCAACTAGACTGAAAACAGCTGCCTTGCATCTCTAGAGGCTTCGGTAATAAAGTAAGGGATTTGGGAGGAACAGGTGGGGGCATCATGCTTTCTGCCAGCTGAAGACTGCAATTTTGGAACAGAATCACACACGAGGAATGGACAGCTGGCTCAGCAGAAGCCACAAGGGGCAGGGAGTGGTTCTCCCAACTCTGCTTATGGCACCAGACTCATGAGCTCCCAGAGAGGCGTGTGCGGCTCCACCAGGGGACAAGAGTGAAAGGGGGAGAAAGAAAGGAAAAGTCCCACGTAAAAAGGTCAGGACAGTGGAGGAGCAGCAATGTGACATGGAAGGAAAAACCACAAATAAAGGGCATCCTAGAATCCTCTAGGGGAGTAAGCACAGCTTCCCTACAGCAAGAGAATTGCTCTGGCTTCAGATCACAGATTTGGCAATACACAGAATGTGGGTAAAAAACAAATAGAACAATGACCACTAATGTGAGACCTGTGTACCTCTCTGTTAAGGAAGATTTTATAAGAGGAACCAGAGCTGGAGGTAAGTCTTGCCTTGAGCAGGTTCTCTCCACTCATTCCGCCCTCTCAGTCCAGTCTCCAACCACTACACTGCACTGGCTCCTAATTGTAGCTCAGCTTATCTCACAAGTCCCCATCGTTTAGAGAAATGGCACTCTTACTGGAATGTGGCCACTACCACAAATGCCTAGCTATCATGTAATCCTGATTGAAGAGAGTTTGGTTGATGGTCCTGCCAACCATGGGGTCCCCATGTGGATTCGGATGATCATATTAAGTGAAGGGTAAGGAAAGAAGGCACAAGGGAGAAACCATGACTGCCTTCATTTATTTGAAGGAACTGTCATGGGATAAAAGGAACAGACTGTTCTTCATTGCATAAGAATTTGGGGAGTTACAGAGTCAGGCTCCAGCTCCACATAAAGATGACAGCCTTGTCGGTCATACCTGTCCAGAACAAATTTCCTCAAAGAGACCAAGCTGCCCACTTCTGAGTATGATAAAGCATGAAACAGGCACCATCTGCCAAAATGTGCTAGATCCCGCACTGGTGGGGACACTGGGCCAAATGCTCCGTGACCTTCGGAGCCCCTCTGGAATTGTTAAGCCCCATTAGGGAGGCCCACAAAAACACAAGTACAGTGTTCATGGCCTGGAAAGTGTAACAAGACACTGACTAAAGGGAAGAGGCACCTGACCTCTAGAAACCATTGCAATTGTAATTTGTTTTGTTTTTGTTTTTGTTTTGGGTGTGGAGGGGTTCTGAGGAGACTTACTGACTGATTCCAGGGTGGGAAAGAAATGGGTAGAGACAAATCTCCAAACTCTTTATTTTCCAAGACGTCATCTGAAAGACTAGAGCCTAAAGCATTTTGCAATTGAGGACCTTCCTGCCTCCAGTTTGTTCTAAGGGATATTGGAAAGGTGCTTAACAGCCAAGAGTTAGGTACTATTGGAATTGACTCTGCAAATGGTTCGTTAGGGCCCAAATGCTCCTGCAGCTATCTGGACACACTACTCTTCTTAGACATGCAGACATACCATCTCTTCCCCCGGACCGGATTAAGTGCCGGCTGGCCAGGCTCCCTCCACTTTATATGAGGTTTCTTTCCCCACCTATCCTCCACAGTGTACATGTGTCTTGTGCTGCTAATAGGGAGGTCCGGCCTCTGGTAAACTTTTCCCCATGACCCCTTTCCTCCTCCAAAGTGGGCCATCCGGTCAGCAGGGCCTGAATTCCCAGCATTTCCCAAGTACCTTGGACACTGTCTCCATTTCCTGCCCCTCCCAACCCTCCCTGCATTCATTGAGCAATAGACAAACCAAACTGTCTGGCTCCAACCTACATTCTGTCCCAACCCAGGCCACGGGGTGACCATAACAGAGCATGGGAGCACGTTTCTGGTTTAGGACAGTCTCCTCGAACTCCAGTCACTGCACTCTGGGGAAAGATAGGTGTGGTTAATTCAAAGCATTTGCCTAGGCACTGTGAGGCTCCATCATTTATATCCCTTCAGCCAACATGCTTTGAGCTCCCACTGTGTGCTTAGCACCAGGCTAGGCAGGGAAATAAATTTAGCACAAAACATAAATATGGCCTTGTTTTAGTTACTTTTCTCATTGTTGTGTCCAAACACCTGCAAGAAGCAGCTTAATAAGGAAAGGTGTCCTTTGGCTCGTGGTTCACGGCAGCAGACGTGAGTCACTGCTGTGACAGAAGGAACTTGCTCGTATCTCAGGAGAACAGAAAACAGTAAGAAGAATGCAGGCAGTTGTTGGGTTTTTTTTTTTCTCCTTTAACTCGGTCCAGGATCCCAGCTCATAGGGTGGTACCTCTCACACTGAGGGCAGATCTTCTCTCAGTTCATACTCTCTGGAAATACCTTCACATCTAACAGTGTCTCCTGAGGGATTCTACATCCAGTAAAGTTGACTGTAACAATTGACTGTCACATGGCCCTTGCTTAAGGAGGGATGGAAAGATGTAGCCTGTCTCCAGAAGCAGGACTTGTGAAATACCATGCAGAGATTGTGGTGAGATTCGGTTGTCTTAGTGGGGCTGCAATGCTACATGTTTGAGCTCCTAGGTGATGCAGGTGTATCAGGTGCTGAAGGGATAGACGCATGAACTTGAAGATCAGTGGTCACAGTGCAGCAGGGCACGCTCTCCTTCCCCTTCACTCCACAGCACCTTGTCCATAGGCCAGGGCTCCAGCAGCCTGTCCCCTTGCCCAATAGGGTCTCTGGATATTGGCAGTGCCAGGGTGACCGACCACCTGTAAGAAAATTGGCATCCAGGGAAGGGATCCCTGGGTATGGGATGGTGGCAAGAAGTCAAAGGGACCCAGGTTGTTCTGCTGAATGGAGTCCTTTTGTCTTTGTCTTTACAGACTGTGCTGGATGCAAGGAGGAGATTAAGCATGGCCAGTCACTCCTGGCACTGGACAAGCAGTGGCACGTCAGCTGTTTCAAATGCCAGACCTGTAGTGTCATCCTTACCGGGGAGTACATTAGCAAGTGAGTGTCCTTCCCCCTTCCTACCTGGGATTCCTGGACTTCTACATCCTATGAGACCTGTCCCACCATCCTCCCCTGAATCTCCAGCATCACCCTTCATCTCGTCCATTGGAAGCCACATAAGCCACAGTGGCCACCCTCCCAGCCTCTTTCTACCTTCTGGCCTTCCCATGCTGTTTCCTCTCTCATGATGCCCTGGTATCACTATGTATAAGGAACTTTAGATGGACTATGACATTAAACCTCCATAACTACCCTGTGACTGGTCTGTCCCATGGGATTCGGAGTCTCAGGGAAGTAAGCAACTTGCTCAATTATAGTGTTTCCTCTCTGTCCCTCCCAGTTAGTTGCTGCTGTATTCCCTGCCTGTAGCACAATGCCTGACCCAGAGTTGATCATACAGTTATTGAATAGATATAACAGAGATACGGGGAGATGATGGTTAAATAAAATTATCAGGAGAGAAGAGTCTACCCCAGGATCTTTCACATAACAGCTTTATACAAGTTTTCTTTATGCCCAGGCACTAGCAACTACCTGTGTATATTTAAATACCCAAAGGCACAGACCCTCAACATGCTGACATTTGCTTCTCCCAGACATTTCCTGTGTCCCACTGTCTGGCTGTAAGTCGGGATATGGTGAGCATAAGCATACAGTATGCATGGAATCTGCTGTTAAGACGCCTACCTATCCTATATCTCATAACAGAGATAAACTATAGGCTTAGAATTAGGGCACCAGGTTTTGTAAGACGAGCTTTATTCCTTTTCAATCATGTGAAAGAAAATCCAATTTAATTTACTTAAAGCAACAATTGAAGTTTTTTTACTCATAGAAATGGAAAGGGCAAAGGTATAGCTTCTCAAAGATGCCATGAGCATATTAAGACAGAAGTCTCTCTCTCCTCCATTACCCCCTCGCTCCCCTGCTTTCCACTCTATTGGATTTATTCTCAGACAGGTGAGGCAGCAAAGTCACCAATAGTTACCAGGTTTTTGATGCATCAGTTTAGCAAGCCTAGCAGAAAAAGAGGACTTTTTCCCCCAAAGTGAAACAAGAGTCCTGTGGCTGCATCTGATTTCACTCCATTAGGGCACATACCCATTCCTGACTGCTCACTAGCCAGGGCCCAACTGGCAAGCCAAGGCGCAGCCTTATGTGGCACATACAAAGCGAAGTGGCCAAGAATGGCTTCCAAGGGAAGATCCTGGCACTGCTGTCAAGAGGAAGGGGAAATGGATGCGGGCCAACCAACAGCCGCCTGTGTCCAAGTGCAACTGAAGGGCTGTGAAAAGTCAGAGAAGGGAGGAGTCACTTCTTACTAGCCGGAAGTGGCACCTGCGAGAGCTACATGGCTAGGGTGGTCTAAGCTGGGCTGGAAAGAAGAGGTGAGATTCAAAATGCAAAGAAGAACTTGGAGGCAGAATCTTGCCCTGGAAGGGCAGAGGGAGGGCACTATTTCCTATTTGGGAGCTCAAGTGTATACACAGGTGAAGCAGAGTGCCAGGCCACAGAGTTGAGTTGAGGTCAAGTCACTGAAAGCTATGTCAGTAGGTGCTTGGCATTTCCCTCTGGGTATGCCAAGTAAAGAATGGCCTTAGGAGATCACCAGCCAAGAGTTCTTGGTCCTAAGTCAGAATTCTCTGGAGCCTTGTACAGAGTGCAGGAACTCTAGCCTATCTTGCCCATCCACAGGGCTCTGCCTTCTGGTTCTTGTTCCCTCACCTGCTGTGGCAAATGGGAGGAGTCACAAGGCTATCAGATGGCCAGGGTACAAATCCTGCCTCAAGAGCTCTGACTCTTAGTCTGCTCATTGGTGAAAACAGAGTTAATAGGGTGACCTGCCTCACAGGGATGTGCTAAGGCTCGGAGATCTGTTTTCCAGATCTAATAAGGACAAGTAAGTGCTCCTTTTACCACCTGCCTTTTTTAAATATTTCAACTCCCCAAGGCATCCACAACCCAGAGATCCAAGCGAAGTTGTGTTGACATTTTTACCCAGATGACATTTCTCTCTTCATTGCTACCCTTTTACACCCTGAGAGGAAGAACCTGGTTAGTGGTTGAGGAGGTTAAAAAGTTCAGAGAGGCTTATTTCACAGGCTCAGGGTCATCTCAGGGCCTTTGTCAGGCTCCCTGTTGACATTTTAGGAACTATTGGCCACCTTCTCCTAGGCAGGGCTCCCAGAAAACCCAGTGGGGTTCTTTCTGGTCTCCAGATGGAGGAGAAATAGTATATCTGTGTCTGAGCCAAGTTCTCCTACACCCAAATGTGGGGCAACAGCCCTCTCTCCTTAGGGTTTAGGCTTGGTCCTTTGTGTTAGACAGGTCCCAGAAGTTGAGCTGAGCTCATCCATGTTCCCAACTGTCTCTTGATTGCTAAGCACCAAACAGCCTCCCTAAGGACCCCCCAGCCACCATGGCGATCACTGCCTTTCCTGATAGGGACTTATGGGCCAGGCACTGGCTAAGCCCTAGCATGTACTCAGCCCTCTCCTTCAATTCTCATATGGAGAAGCCAGACAACTGGGCCTGGGCCTTAGCTGTAGGTGGTCCTGGGTGACCTGGGAGAGTTACTTACTTGTTCCATGCTTGATTTTTCTCTTTCACACTAGGAAATTAATAGTACTGACCTCCCTGAACTGCCATAAAGATTAAATGAAATGATCTATGTTAAGCACTATCAAAGGGCAAGGCATGCACACAGAAAGAAATGCTGATGGCTATTAGCAGTAGAGAATAGTCTAAGAATAAGACATGGCAAAGCTGGCAAGATGGCTCAGCAGGGAAAGACATTTGCCACACAAGGCTGGTAACCTGAGTTCAGTTCCAAGTTTGATCTTCAGAATCCATGTAAAACTGGAAAGAGACAACTGACTCCACAGAGCTATCTTCTGACCTCCACATACGTGCCTCAGGACACCCCTCCACACACGATGGTGATATAAATAAATAAATAAATAAATAAATAAATAGAAATAAATAAGAATAAGCCACAGTAATCTGATCTCCATCCACCGAGTCTAAGGACTGGGTAGACAAAGCATTTAAGTTAAGCTAATGGAGACTACTTCCTATATACTGGTCCATCAGCTCAACCAATTGGTTTTCTCACTACAATTGGTTAAAAGGAGCATTCTTAAAGGCCTTTAAAAAGCCAATCTCTCTCTCTCTCTCTCTCTCTCTCTCTCTCTCTCTCTCTCTCTCTCTCTCTCTCTCTCCGCTCCCCAAGGGGCTGTCGGGAGGT